CCCCAAAACCCCAAAACCCCAAAACCCCAAAACCCCAGTATAAAAACAAGAGATTGAAATCAACATAAACTAAATGAAACAACTGAAACACCTTGCCGATTTGTGCTCTCTCCTAGTCAAATTCCTAACATGGAAGATGTACTTGTGGGTTTTATACCTAATTTCCTTTATTGCTGCCTACGCCCTCCTGGCTTACAGGATCACTATTGTGGAAGGCACTATGCGCTATATCTACCTGGGAGTTCACTTATATGAACTATGCGGAGCCTTTGCATGATTGGTCATGACAAGCATCAATGTTAAAGACCTCCCTGCATTATGAAAATGCTTCTTTTGCCTTCTCCATGTAATCTTTATAGGCACTCCTCTTATACTAAATCCTTTTTGTAAAGCTTGGGCACAAGCTGAGGAAGAAGCAGAGGAAGCTCAGGAGAGCAACTTGTGTGTTGAAATAGCTACATTTCCTGTATTGGGAAGTTTGGTGGTTCTTCCAATACTCTTAGATAAGGATGAGGGTCAAGACCAAGCCTTCTGGATCTGGTATGGCGCAGCTATCTGGATGATTACTTTCTGCTTCCGTCTTTATCCTCTCAAGGAGAGACAAGGAAAAGATATGGAAGAGAAAGGAGCTTACTTCCTTTATGATAATAATTTCGAACCAGAAGAATGTGACAGGGACAAACTCATGAGTTTCCTCCATCCAATTACACTTATGGTGATTGCCATCTTCTTAGTAGCCACTCCATTCATCTTGTTCATTCTTTTCATAATATTCTGTATCTCTCAATTACACAAGTGATGCAAAGACTGAAGACAAAATGTTCAAGAGAGGAGAGAAATGAAAGCTAATCAGAATCCTGGACCAACTATAAAAGCCAACAATTACCCAGGATCAAGTTATAAAGCTCAAGGTAACTAAGAATCCTTTATATTTCTCTTTTAGACGATCAAGTCCTGACAGAGTTAGGCCAGCAGCCTCAGAATTCGAATTTGCCACCAATAAGACGAGATGTGGACCAGACGAAGAATAACATGATGGAGTTTTCCAATTGTGATGGGGAAGAAGGCAAAGAGAATGGTATTTATCGAAGACCAGATGAATTAGAAAGAGAGAGGGATCTTGAGAAAGCAAATGTGGTTGGTGGTCAAAAAGTGGAAGAGATAGCTGGAGGAGTGAATGATGGAGAGAAGAGAAGTGAAGAGGATTAATACAGTTGGATTTATTAAAAGAACAGTGGCTTTGCTAATTTGCTAATAAAAAATAAATAATAACCTTGTTCTGAAAAGTGTAGTACTTTGAATTAATGCTATGAGAATTTTAGTTTGTTGTATTTTGTTTATACATTCTGAGAACATCAATTTTCACATTCTATCCAATAAAATCTCCTAAATACCCTTAACATCACCCATAAACCCAAATAAGAGCCACCAACAACTACAAACTCCAAATACAGCCCCCAAAACCCCCCAAAAAATCCACCTGACTTTTTCAAAATTCCCTAAAACTAAATTTTTTCAATACAAAATCCTTCATCTGGGGTTTTGGGGTTTTGGGGTTTTGGGGTTTTGGGGTTTTGGGGTTTTGGGGTTTTGGGG